GCCAGAGCAGTTAAAGGCAACGCAGTAAAAAGACATGCACTGAGTTACTGTGATTGATGGACATAAAGATAAATGCAAATAGGCATCATGGTGCTATAAAGAGAATTCTTCCACACCAGGGCTGTTGTCTCTGCATATCATAAGGGGAAAAGTAAAACCAGATTCAGCTATGTGAGCCACGATATATGAAGGCTGGATCACATAAATTGAGGCATTCACAGCAACCGAGATGACTGTAAATCATGACTATCATGTATTCTAAAGCTACCAGGAATACAAAATCCAAGGCTACAGGAATAAGGTAGAAATACAGTACGTTATTAAATAAGGATTTAACTCAGCTGAAGGCTGAAATGTTTCTGTGATTTAATGAAAGTCAATCTCCATGAGTACCTCATTGGATTCGGTCTAAAGGAGAGAGGATGGATGAATGTTCCTGACTCAATAATGGCTAGTGACTTGTAAACAATACAATAAGGGGTTGTCTTAAGAGAGGACCTTTTTTGTCCAGCAGTGAGATCTGCACATGAATTGTCCTTAGCTTAGGCCTTGAAAAATGCAGTTTGCAGTATGATGCCAGCATGAGTGATTTAACTCTTGCAAAGTATGATTTTCCTACAAATAACAAGTCCGGTAANTGTACTCTTACAAAGAAGCTGTGGCAATCACATTTAACGTCAAAGACTACACACACCCTTTAATCTTGATAGTATTGTTAAGAACCACAGAGTATATCTAACTTCCCAGTCACACGCAGAATAGTTTAAAGGTGATAACAGAAGAAAACAAGGAGGTGCATGAAATATAAACTCAAAAGATTAGATTAGATTAGTACCGTTATCCCCATGTCTTACCCAAAACTGTCTTGTGAGCTCGTGGCAGAACCATGAAACCAAAAAAACAAAAATATACAACTCTAAATATGCCTTTAAATATGACATGGCAGTAATTTAAATGTGATTATTTACCCTCTATTATTAGAAATGTATTGAGAAGAAATGATGACATCATGAAACACAATTGTGTTGTCTTAAATGATGTCAAGCCCAAACTTTTCAGAAAAGTTTATATCACTATTTTGAGGGAGTGACTGTCACTTCAGACAACAATTCAGTTGAACGAGATAAACAAATTGGACCAACCGCCAACATATCAATGTGTCCTTATCTTTACGACAACTAAGTAAAAGTAAACAGCTTTGACACATAGCAGCAGTCCATGAAATCGGAATCTTATCTCCATATTAGATTCTCCCTCTGACCAGTGATCAACTCGATGTCCCAAACAACACAGACTCAGTGGCATCCACAACATCCTGGTAAAGCCAACTGAAACAATACACAGAATTAAGGAACTGAAAGTGTCAAGAACAGGTGAGAAGAAGTTCACAATTAATGATGTCAAAATAAACAGGAATCACAAAGCCAGTATTCCCGCAGCTGTGTCAGGCAAATGTTGCACCTCTTTGCAACTTTTGAACAACTCTGTTTACTCTCTTTATGATGCAATGTGGTGCAATGTAAAGATGTGTTATGGTAATACCCGTCATGTCAAAAAGATATACTAATTTCAATGAGGCATCGTCATATTAATGACAGGAACGGAAAGGAAAGGCCTGATTATATCACCATCAATAACCCATTTGATCTTTCTGCATTTACACACACCCACACTCCTCATTTTGTTAAAGAGGCTGATCCGCTTCTTTTTTTGGGTCTTAGGAGCAAAACCGGGTAAACAGTGATGTAGCTAGCGGAAAACACCAATTACAGAACACCCCTGCTATTCACAATCAACAAACTCTTTCATCTCTGGTCTCACGCATTCAATATGTGCGGAACAACACTGAGGATATTTGTGTTAATCTGGTTTTACCTTCAGCAGAAAGAAGACGGATACAAAGGGGATCTTTTCTGCAGCTAGGGTACAGAATCCCATTGGTGTCTACTATTATTATTTCACAAATACTTTCACTAGGTTAAAACCAAAATGAAAAACACATGCACACAAGCTTTACATTAAATCTCATTCCGAAGCTAAAGAATGTGCTCAACACGTTGGCTGTATTTCAATCCACATACTTAGTTCTTTTCTTTTGTTCTATGTTTCTCTGCAACAACATTCTTAATGCCAGAAAAACATAATGGGGATTATCGATGTCACACGATAAGAGCACATCAACAGAAAGCCTTAGGTGTACATAGTTACAATAACCACTCCCCAGTGACCTCCACTTGGAAGAGCAGAAGAGAGCAATCCAAGTTCCATTAGCTGTAGAATTTGTATGAGGGATGCTGCATTTTTCCAGCAGATGTTTCCAGTGATAGTTCAGAGGAAAAGGTAAAGCCAGCTCCTATTAAAAAGGTCAGGCAAACAGAGTGTAGGCTCCTCAGGAATTCAACCTCTTTAGACTCTGACCTACGTTTACACTTTTTACCGACAGGGTTCTTCTGCTTAAGGTTATAAAGATCCTATGTGTAAGCTCTGTAGTTTCAAGTAATGCAACTTGGACATCTTGATGGTATAATTCCAAACTATAAGTCAATGAGGAGGATTTAATTTAACAAAAGACCATTTTGCAACCCAATGACAATCGGGTAACCAAAACAAACACCACATACACTAAAGATTAGAAGCGAATCCTCGGTATTGAGGAGCTGGAATGCTACATTTACTTTAAAATGTAAATACAAGGACAATTTATCGATAACCAAAATTGGTGCAGATTTATTGATTCATTCAAGCAAAATCTCAATTTTCAAGAGAATTGTAAGCTTTTCTTTGTACTAGTTTCATGGGAAACGGATTATCTTTCGATTTTGGACAACTGGCTGGACAAATTGGTTTGAATATGCCGCTTTGGGCACTGGGAATTTGTGGGGGTGCATGGTGCGTTTAGCACGTTTTAACACATTTAGGGGACTCAATATTTATTGATTTTACTGCAAAAAGGAACTGTAGATTAATCGTTGGTTGCATTCTAAATTTCAACAATCCTACATTGAAAGCAATCACCAGTTCCATATTGTGTTCATGTTTAATTCCCCGATATAATCAGGACCCATAAACATTCAACCGGATTTTGTGAGTCCAAAAAATATGAAGTGCCTAAAAGTAAACTCTAAATCAACATAAAATATCAATAATAAACAAAGGAAGTTGGTCTAATGATAAACTGATAACTATAACCTTCTGACCTTCCTCTCAATAATCTCTTTGAATTCATAAATGTATGCCGCGGCCCAGTGGTGATCCAGACAAATCCAGTCCAAGTGGCTGGCCTTAGGGCTTTAACTACTCACTCACACCACCTCTACCCTTTTGGTTTAACACCACTGCAATGGAATGATGATAAATCAACTGTTGCTAATGATGTAACACACATTATATCATTCCATCTCTGACTCCCTGTGATGTAACTAAGTGTCAGTTTAAGAGAGCATTCAAGACTGATTCTTGGAAGTTTATTTCGCTTCACCCGCCCTCACCCCAAGCACTTCAGCTGGTCCCTCTTCCTTCCC